TAATAATAATAATAATAATAATAATAATAATAATAGATAGCATTTGTATAGCGCATATCCCCGCTCAACAGCAGTGTTTGTGTGATTGTATAATGTTATGTATATTGCCTAAGACTATACGTAAATCTGATGATAATGTTTTTTGCGGGACAGTAGTTGTTTTTTTTTAGCGTGAAGGTCTGTATTATAAACACTACTAAAAGTGCTTTCAGCGTTCTCAAAATGACTATGGTAGTGCTTGTTGCATAGAGTGATTTTGGCATGAGGTTAGTGTCATTGACGTAGCCAGAAATAGTGTTTTTGGCGTGAAGGTCTGTGCTAAAATAAGCACTACTAATAGCCCTAATAGTGCTTTCAGCGTTGCCAAAATGAATACGGTAGTTTTTGTTGCATAGAGTGATTTTGGTTTATTACACCCGCAGTTGTGGGAAGGTAGGCCTACCTTGGGCAATACATGTATTAAAAAAGCGTTCTGTGAGAAACCCTTTTGTTGTGCTTGTCAATGCAAACATGCTTTTCCACATTGCGACTTTCTTACCATTTTTTTTTTCTAAACCTCATAATAGTGTCCATTCTCGTCTATAATTGTCATGGACTCTCCTAGCTATAGCTGATGAGTCACCGCATTGCCCGACCAAAATGCAGCATACAGCAGTCCAACCGACCCGTCTTTTGTAGGAAGGAGCTGGGTCGTTTTGATGGACACACCCAAACGTAATTCTCACACAATTATTTAGGTAAACACTGCTGCTTCATTTCAACTATCGACTTCCCGAGAGACAGATGATTTCGTCGCCGTCATTCATCATTGTCGTATGTCAAAATATGAGCTTTTCAGGAAAAGAAAACAACTGTATTATTTCACCCAGGACACTGTCTTAATACGCAACGTTTAATTCGTCTAAACCCATTACTATATTAAGATTACGAATGAGACTAGATCCATTCGATGTGCTTCATCAAACCCTCCAACAAACTTGATTTTCATTTTTTTTTTTCGAAATCTGGACATACGACAATGTTGACAGACGGCGTCGACTTTTGGACGGACGGTTTCTGGTTTGGTGGACACGCTGGGCTATGCTGCTGAAGAAGCCTGGTTCCAGATGAATGGGACCACCATAATCTTACCACATGCCAAGAGTGGCCATTGTATAGTTGCAAGCAAGGTTTGGGGAAACGTTTCATAAGACAAAGGTTGCAGAAGAAGAGACACCGCATTCCCTCAACTTGAACCCCTGCAATCACATGTATTATTACTATTATCCCCCCCGTTTTTTTTTTTGGTAGGTTTGTTTTTTTGACAGACACCGTTGAAACTCAATGTTGAACACGAGGTTTAAAAAACAAACAAACAAACAAAAATCCCAGCTGGAAACCAGCCACAAGCGTATTAAAAATTTCCAGTGGCGTACTGAAAAGAAATGAAGAGAAACGGTAAATAGCTAGAGCATACATTTTAAATAGACACCTCTTCCCCGAGTGTATTTGATATTATCAAATTTGTGTTTAATGTGTTCTTCAATACACAAATAGTGACTTTATCTTTAAGAAACAGAATAAGATATGTTGATTTTTTTAAAAAAGTTTTAAAGTTTTGTATTTCACTCAGTTTTGGTTGAATTTAAAACAAATAAACAAAAGATGATATTTCTCGAACATGAATCTTAATCTTACCAAACTTGACGTCTCCTTGGTTTAATTTTATTTTTTCGAAGTTTTGTTGAAATTGGTCCAATCATAAACAAGTTAATGTCCTGTAAATGGGCCCTTCATTAAAATTTGTAAACGCCCGGTATATTATTGTTCTATGATATGAGTTGGCGAGTGAGCGTGTCTCTGCAGGTCATCGGGTAGACAACGGGTCGGACAGTGCTATTGGGAAATTTTTATATTATTATTTCACACACACACACAAACATACAAACACACACAAACATACACACACACACTCACACTCACACACACACACACACACACACA